TCCTAATTCCCCCGGAGTGGTGCCAGTGCTGTGCCCTCTTCAATTCCCCCGCGGATTCCTGCCCGCTCTGTGCCCCGGGGCTCCCCTGGACTTGGCCGCCGCCAGAACCCCTCACCCCAGAGGCCCCGCGGGCCCGGGCTGACGCTCTGCGAGAACCATGCACGGTGTCCGCGGAACATCGCGGGGAGAACCGCCCTGAGGGGGACAAGGGCGAGAACCGCCCTGAGGGGCTGAGGGGAGTCGGGAACCGCCCTGAGGGGCTGAGGGGAGGCGGGAACGGCTCTGAGGGGCTGAGGGGAAGCGGAACGGCTCCGAGGGGCTGGGGAGGGGCGGGAACGTTCTGAGGGGGGAAGAGGGCGGGAACGGCCGTGAGGGGTCGGGAGGAGGCGGGAACCGCTCTGAGGGGCTGAGGCGAGGGGGGAACCGGTCTGATGGGTCGGGAGGAGGCGGGAATCGCCCTGAGGGCAAGCGGCGGTGGAAGAACCTGGCGAGAGGGAGCGGCTGGAGCTGTGTCGGGGATATTTAGGYTGRATATTAAGGAAAGTTCTTTCCCCACAGTGTGGTCGGGCACTCAAAAAGCCTCACAAGGGCAGCACTAAGCCTGACAGAGCCCAAGGGCACTTGGACCATGCTCTGAGGCACAGGGTGGTGTTTTGTGCTGTCCTGTGCAGGGTTAGGAGTAGGACTCAATCCTTGTTCTCCTAAACGTTTTTCTCAAAAATACCCTTGCATATGTCTGACTCTGGAAACTGTTTGCTTGCAGAAAAATTGGTCGTATTTCATGAAGCACAAATGAGGCTTGTTTCATGCTTCAAGCTTACCAAGATAYCCCTCAGGATACCCCRTCTCCYGAGAATTGGCAGCAGCAGCAGCAGAAGCAGTGAAGCAACATCCCGGGAACCTCAGAACCTCAAGGATGCCAGATAAAACAGAGAAGGTGTTTCTGGACCAGGTCCTGAAATCCAGCTGCTAATCAAATTTAGCCTCTGCTGTGGGCATGTGTTGTTCTCACACACACAGGGGATTTTTGAGSAAACCATCAAAACATTTCTTAAGTAACACCAGAAAAATCCCACAGATTMAAKCAGGCCAGACTTCCCCAGTGAGAAGATGATGATGTGCTGTTTTGAGATAGGGTCATTTCACATTGCCTCCACAGAATCTGCAGATTCTGCAGTCGACTCCACTCCTGTCCAAACTAGGA